GAGTTGATATTATGTTGGAAATGGAATGGCTAGCACAACTTGGGGAAATCTAGGCCAACTTTGGAGACTTGCTTCTCAAAGTTCCTACAGCCACGGGAACTCACATAATCCAAGGGGATCCCACACTCTCCAAAGCACCAACTTCTATCAAATCCATGTATAAGGCACTCTCCAACCAAGGGGAAGGGTTTCTAACCACCTATCACATGATTTCAGAAGCAACGGACTCACATGATGCTACCCTATGGTGGATTCGACCAATTTTGGAAGACTATCTAGAAGTATTCACCGAACTACAAGGTTTACCACCCCACCCCAACAGAGTCATGACCATGCAATCATCTTGAAGGAAGACGCTCTTATCCCCAATTTGCGTCCTTATAAGTATCCCCATTATCAAAAAAATGAAATTGAGAAATTAGTGGATGACATGTTGCAATCCGGAGTCATTAGGCTGAGTGTTAGTCCGTACTCTAGCCCTATCATTTTTGTCAAGAAAAAAGACGGTGACTGGCGGTTTTGTGTAGATTATCGAGCCTTAAATAAAATCACTGCCAAATAAATTTCCTATACCCATTATTGATGAATTGTTGGATGAACTAGAAGGTGCAACAATATTCTCTGAGTTGGATTTGAAGGATGGTTATCACCAAATCAGAATGAAAATAGAGGATGTCCCCAAAACAGCCTTTATGAATTTGGTGTTATGCCATTTGGTCTTCCAAATACCCCTTCAACATTTCAGGCTTTAATGAATGAAGTGTTTACGCCTTAAGTAAATTCACATTGGTATTTTTTTGATGATATTTTGGTGTATAGTAATACCGAGGAGGAGTACAACAGACAATTGCAGGCTATTTTGACTTTGCTCAAAGAGAATCAATTAGTGGCCAATTTCAAAAAGTGTACCTTTGGACAAAGCCAACTGAAATATTTGGGACATCTCATTTCAGGGCAGGGTGTGGCAGTCGATCCATAGAAAATTGAAGTAATGCTCAATTGGCCTATTCCAAGGGATCTCAAAGCCTTACGGAATGGATCTCAAAGCCTTACCGGGATTCTTAGGTCTCACTGGTTACTATCGCTGGTTTGTTCGAAATTATGGGAAGCTTGCTAGACCTCTCACTCAACTTCTTAAGAAAGATAGTTTCGGTTGGAACGGGGAAGCACAAGCTGCCTTTGCGATTTTGAAGAACGCCATGGCTGAATTACCTATCCTTATTGTACCAGATTTTTCTCTTCCCTTTGTTGTTTAGACAAATGCCTCTAACAAAGGCTTAGGCACCGTATTAATGCAGCAGGGTCGTCCAGGAGCATTTTTAAGCCAAACCCTATCTGACCGAGAACAACGGAAATCTGTCAATGAGCGAGAACTTATGGCTATTGTCATGGCGGTTCAGAAATGGAGACATTACTTGATGGGACGTCATTTTATTATTCACACTGACCAGAAAAGTTTGAAGTTCCTCACTGACCAGCGCATTTTGGGTGATGACCAATTCAAATGGACTTTTAAATTAATGGACTTTGATTTCGATATTGTTTACAAACCCGGTAGTGATAACCGAGCAGCCGATATTCTATCTGGTCGCATGACTTATGCTGCAGTTCATATGATACGCTTTGTTGATTTGGAAGAATGGGAAGCAGATGTATTGGCTGATTCTAAACTCCAAGGCATAATTCACGACTTGTTGCAGGATTCCAGTACTCACCCAAACTATACCTTCCAAAATCGGAAGCTATTTTACAAAGGCAAGTTAGTCTTACCCCAGAGTTCTTCCAAAATTCCCACACTACTAAATGAATACCATTCTTCAGCAGTAGGTGGTCATTCGGTATTTTTCCGCACTTATAAACAGTTAGGTGCCTTGGTTTTTTGGGAAGGGATGAAGAAGGATATTTAAGATTTTGTGACTTCTTGTGCTATTTGCCAACAAAATAAATACCAAACCTTATCCCCTGCTGGTCTTCTCCAACCACTTCCAATCCCCTCAAGTTTGGGCCGACATATCAATGGATTTTATCGAAGGGCTTCCCAAAAGTCAAGGTAAGAATGTTATCTTAGTGGTGGTTGACAGATTCACTAAATATGCTCTTTTTTGCCTCTTAGCCATCCTTTTAATGCTAAGCCATTAGCTGAAATCTTCCTGCAAGAACTTGTTAGGCTTCATGGTTTTCCTTCTACCATAGTCTCTGATCGGGACAAGATTTTTCTGAGTCATTTCTGGACAGAATTATTCAAAATGGCTGGTATCAAATTGAAGTTCAGTACAACTAATCACCCTCAAACAAATGGCCAAACTGAGGTAACAAATCGGTGCTTCGATACCTATTTGAGATGCTTAACCGGGCACAAAAACCGCGACAATGGGTCAAGTGCCTGGGTTGGGCAGAATTTTAGTTTAATTCCAATTACAACAACTCAACCAAGACCACTCCTTTCAAAGCTTTATACGGCCGTGATCCACCAAAATTGGTTAAGGGTACCACTGTTCCTTCAGTAGTGGAGGAAGTTAATCAGTTGACTCAAGAATGCGACATCATTCTGCATGATCTTCATTCCAACTTGGCCAAAGCCCAAAACCGAATGAAAACTCAAGTCAATAAACACCGGAGAGATGTATCATTCGCTATTGGGGAATGGGTTTATCTCAAATTGCAGCCTTATAGAGTCAAATCTTTGGCAGGGAAGATCAATGAAAAGCTTAGTACTCGTTTTTATGGTCCTTATCAAATTACTAAGCTTATCGGTTTGGTTACCTATCAATTAGACCTTCCTGCTGAAAGTAAGATCCATCCCGTCTTTCATGTTTCACTGTTGAAGAAAGCTGTCACACCAGTCCCAAATCTTCAACCATTACCACCTATGCTGTCAGAAGATTTAGAACTTCAAGTGAACCTTAAGTGCTCCAGGTTGTCCGTACTAATGCTGCCAACGTTGTGGAGGTGCTCATTCAATGGAAGGACTTACCAGAATTTGAAGCAACATGGAAAGCTTTTGAGGTCATCAATCAACAATTTCCTGATTTTCACCTTGAGGACAAGGTGAAACTTTTGGAGGAAAGTATTGTTAGTAGACCTCCAATTACTAATGTGTATATTAGGCGTAGGCCCAAAGGCCTAATAAGTTAGGCCCAAATTATATATATATATATATATATATATATATATATATATATATATATATATATATATATATATATATATATATATATATATATATATATATATATATATATATATATATATATATATATATATATATATATATATATATATATATATATATATATATATATATATATATATATATATATATATATATATATATATATATATATATATATATATATATATATATATATATATATATATATATATATATATATATATATATATATATATATATATATATATATATATATATATATATATATATATATATATATATATATATATGAGAAAGTCTCACATTCAATTTGTTATTTGGTTGGTTTGATTTGGGAGAGGCTAGGCTCTAATCCTAGTGGTTATATTTAATCTTATAGTTATTTATGTGTGTTGTAACTGTTGTTGCAGTTTGTAACTGTTAAAGCAGGAAGTTATTCCTGATATAACTACAATAACATACTGTATTTATAGATATTGTTCTACCCTTTCTCTATCATTACTAGTCAGAATCTATCAGTTAATGCAGAAGCAAAATGAAGCAAACATGTTATGACATGCCAAAGTTATTGTTAAGACAACAAACCAACCAGTACATGATTCATTATTAAGATTTAATATTACAAAATTTAGCTAATGCAAGTTGATAGGTTCCACCACAAATGCAAACACATTAAGAAAGAAGTTAGAAGATTGAATAGATTTATCAGAAACTATATATCTTTAACATTCACACCTAATGACATCCATTGTGTATCTAATTATATCATATCGTTGTTCCTATTTTTTAGTTCCAGTGAATGATTTCTTTAAAAGAAGAAGTTAAACTAACCATACTACGGGGTGGACATTGGTTCGGCTCGAGCCCAAACTCTCAAACCGAACCAACCCACACGTGAGAAACATGGCACCAAATTCCAACCATTTGATCTTTCAGTTTTTTGAATTCAGTTTTAATCAATTCTGTTAATAAAGTTGGTTTTTTTCAGTTTTAATTTCTTACAGTTCTGTTCAGTTTAAAATTGGGCCATTTTGTATGTAAGCCCAAATATAAATCCAATCAAAATTTCACTCTTATTATTTTATTACAGCCCATCTAAATTCTAGCTCGTCAATAAAATAAAATTTTGCTTTTTCTTAAAAATAATGACTAAATTAACTAATTGTTTGTGTAAAAAAATACTTAATATTTAAACTCATAGTATTTTTTTAATTTGGGCTATAAATTGAACCCATTTAACAATTGGAACATTTTTTCAAACTCATTCAAATGAGATATTAAATCATCAAAATAAAAAACCTAAATAACAACATTTTAAATTAACAAAATTCTGCCATGGGACATCTATCAAAACCACCACACTCATATAACATACAAATTACAAATTTAAAAAATCTTAAAATCATATCACCAACACAAATAGTAAAATCATAAATTACCTAAAAATATATTCAAATCCAACATCCTTCCTCCAACCCACACTCATAGAATTAGAATGTCTCCTGTAATTTAGCTAAACTGCAAACAATCAATACCTTGGAATTTCATATCATAACACTTGCCTCTTAAAAAGAGAATTAAATTATTTATCAATTAATTCTAAACTTACCAAACGAGTAACTCAATTTTTACAAGCTACAACTTCAATATCAGAAGAAGATATCATAGAGAATCACAAATCTCTGTTAGAAATACACCACAAACAAAAGTTTGTGTTTGGTTGGGTTAGAATTTTGGACCAATCATTGAAAACCCAAATTGAAATTTACCAGTTTTTCAATGCCAAATAAAGTTATGGGTAAACCATGAAACCAATTAAAATCAGGCCATGAAACATGTACACAGCGATATAATTAAGTTGGATTGTGTTAAAAAAAATCAAAAGAGCAAAATATTATACAAAGTGACATATATATTTCAAGCAGAATATATTGAAACCAAAAAAAAAAGGATATACAATTGTAAAATAGGAGCACATTCATTAAAGAAAACACAATCAAACACAATCAGTTTGCAAATAGCAAAAGCCTATACTTAGAAAATTAAATTGATAAAACAAGATCATTTCACCATAGACTATATACTTACGGGTGAAAACAACAACAACAAGAAAAACTAGTTACTTGTAAGAAGGCTTTCCTTGTAAAGACCGGCAATAAATCTACTTCCCTTTCCACCAGGAATACCAACCTCCTCAATTATTAATTTACTTCTCTTTCCACCATTAATACCAAACTCTTCAATTATTTGGGTGTTCAAATCAACATAGGCGACTTCATAATCTTTTGTTGTAACGTATATATATCCCATCTTTCCAAATCCAATTGGGGGCGATTGGATGGAAGGTAAGGGGCCATAAGTATATAGTTTGATCCATGATTCACTAACACCAAGTTCACCCAGAATAGATATGTGAAAAACAATATCATCGTGATAATTTGAGATTAAAGCAATTGATCCATTTAATTGCGTCAAGCGTCCATGACAACTGTATGGGGAATCAGGTTCTTCCCCGATGGGTGTTGTAAGGAACACCTCATCACTCAAGTCAAATGACAAGAGAGTCATAGCATGTAGATGGCTGGTAGAATCCAAAACCAACCAATGACACGCTCCATCCTCATAAACTTCGAGACCAGAAAATGATCCAGATTGAGCATAATCCCATTGATTCGGAGGACGGCAAACCCCTACGATAACCCTTACGAATCGGACCAGGGTGGTTGGCGGCGGAATCCATGTAGAACGACAGTGGAGTATAGCTTCCCTTATCAATCTCATCGGCGCCGGAATGCACCATCTTCGGCTGTTGAGATCGACGGCTTCTGCCTTTCCGTGACATTGTGTTATGCTGATTTCGCTAGGTTAGAATTGGGCACCCAAACCCAACTTATATTTGTTTTTCTTACCCAGGCCCATTAGCTGCCAATTAAATCTACTAAGATCAAATTCATTAAAAAGATATCTAATCATTCATATAAATTAATGGATTGAATTAATGCTCATCTAACTCATCCAATATATTTTAAATATTCAATAAAAAAAATTTAAATATTTTTTAAATTCATTAGATCTATTTAAAAAACAATATACAAAAATTATATAAAATAATATAAATCATATCTTTTATAAACAAAATTTTGATTGTTCAAGAAAATACAAAAAAAAAAAAAAAGCAAATTTTTTTCCAAAAATATAAAAAATCGATTTTCCTGGAAAATTAAAAAAATAATTTTTATTTCTAAACAAAAAAAATTGTTTAAGAAAATACAAAAAAAAATATCATTTTTTTTCCAAAAATACACAAAATCGATTTTTCCCCAAAATTTTAAAAAAAAAACAGGTTTTTTCCAAAAAAAACAAATTTTTGATTTTTTTAAACAAAATAATTAATTTTTTCGAATATACATACAAACAATTGATTTTTTAATATATTATTTTTCAATGTAATTTTTTATAAATAAATAGATATATTTAAATTAATTTTTTGAATGGGTGGATATCCATCCATTAAAAAGATGTTAATGAATTTTTTTCAAAAAATATAATGTTAATAGATGGATCGGATGAATTTTATTCCTAATGAATAGATTGAATTGGATATTTTTTTTAAAATTTTAGTAGATTATTAATGGACTAATGGATTATTTTGATTTATCCAATCCATCTATTTTGCCACATATAACTCATTATTTATCTATTAGATTACCTACTATAATTCCCACATATATTTATTGTTTTATTATAAAATTAATATTTAAAAAAATAATTTGATTTGTATCCGTTGTTAATCTCCTAATTAATTTTGCTCAAAACCATTTAAAAACATGGAAGGTTGAGAATATTAAATACTAAGATCAATTATTATTTGATGATGTAATACAGTGGGAGAACTGATTTGGTTGTTTGGCGTTTGATCGCAATTGTTGCGGATAGCAGGAGTCGCCACCCGGCTTTTCTTTTATCCAATAAAGGAAAGGGTGAAAAGAACAGGAAAGACCTTTGAGATATTTTCTTGAGTTCGGGAGTAGGTTATGAAAAGGGAAGGTGTTAGCACCCTTTTCATCTGTAATTATCTACGGGCTCTTAGTTGCTTGCTAGATCACTTTTGAAATTTGCTTTGTTTGAAATGTGTTTGTGGTGGATTTTGAAAGTATATTTGAAAAGCGTCTTCGTTTAGGCAAACTTTGTAATGATTTTCGTCTCTATAAGAATGCATACAAAGTGTTTGACTTTTTTTAAAATATTTCATGTTTTGAAAGTGTTTTGTGTGTTTTAAAAAATATTTGTTTTAAAGATGGATTGTGAGCAAGCAACTAAGAATGTTATACCTACTCAAAAGCTGTTTGTTCATTTCTCTCTTCCTTTGACATTGCTATCTTACTATTGATTGTTAAGAAGCTCTATCTTTGGATGTGAAGGGACGGGCGTGGGTCATCGTATAGTCATTAGAAGCAATGTTGTGAGATATCTTAGCATTTTTTAAGGGACTAAGATCATTTGTAAGGCAACATTCGTAGCGTCATCGAGGGGCTATGATTGCTAAGGCATCTCACATGCATAACATGACCATTTCTGAAGGCAACAAGTGGAGTTAAACCTAGAGGTACAAGTGTGCAAAGTGTTTATTTTTGTTTATTTTCATACATTGTTTTATCTTGGTTAGGGTTGTCTAAGATTGATTTTTATCTTGTCATACACACTCTAGTTACTAGCATTTATATTTAAAAGCGGTAAATTACGGAAAATAAAGTCTTACGCTATTACATCGTTTAGGGGGATGGGGGTACAATTTAAAAATGGGGATGGATAGGAGCTTATATATTACAACCATATTGAATATCTATGAAAGGAATATATGAAACATGTAAAAACAAAGGAAAATGAAAGAAAAATGCATTTTTGAACATTATGTGTCGACACATGCTCTTTTGCATCGACACATAACTTTTCCTTGCCCCTGTATTGCCAAGTCAACTTAGTATGAGTCGGTGCATAATGATATGTGCCGACTCATACCCTGCATGTGTCGACTCATACGTGCTTTGTGTCGACTCATACTCCCTTTTTTCCTTCTGTTTTGGGCCTGTATAGCAGTATGTGTCGACTCATAAGGCTATGTATCGACTCATAACCTGTTTTTCCACTAAGATGTGTCGACTCATAAGGCTATGTGTCGACTCATACTATTACTTTTTACTATATCTTTGTTTTGCTACATACATGTGTTAGTTCTCAGCATATAAATGACAAGAATGGAAGATAAACAAAGGTTAGCTTCAAGGGGAATGGTTATTATATTTTTATCTTCGAAGATGAATCAACTAATGATGCTTGAAATGAAGGGTTTAAAGTCAAGGAGACTTACCTTGAAACTGGAATTTGTGTCTTGAGCTTGAGTTGCTTCCTTGAGTGTTCTTGAGCTTCGAAAACAGAGATGTTACAAAAACTTGTTCTTGAGTTTGAACAACTTCTAAGTAATGTATGTGAGGTGCTTAGATGTTTGGACAGAATTTTCAAAGTATGAGAGGTTCAAAGGTTTGGACTTTAAAACTCAAGAGTGGAAGCTTTGTGGACTGTTATGGCTTTTGTGAATATGAGATTTTTTTGAGGGTTTATCAACAAAACTTCTGGTTTTTCTCTCTATTTTTCTGACCTCTTTCTCTTGCAAATGCTCCCTCTATTTATAGGCAAAGGGTTTATGATCAAGCTGATTTGGTTTACAAACTATGGAGTTATGGCTAGGTTGGATTGCAAATATCAAGTTATGTCATGGTCCCAAGATGAAGTAGTTGTTGGTATAGAGAGGTTGATTTCCATGATTTATGGTGGAGTAAAATCATAAGCAAACAAGGTATGGGTTCAAGACATGTTTTGTACAAAAAGCTTATTTTTCAAGAATAGCAATGGTGTCTTTATTCCATAAATGGAAAGATCTTTTGGACAGTGGTTTAAACACTTGGATAATAGCTCAATAATGGGTGTAAGCATTAAATTATGGTCAGATTGGCAAGTAAGAAGGCATGCAACACAAGATTATGCAGCATAGCATAAGGGTTTTGTTATGTGTTCTTCACTAAAATGACTTGCAATTCAAGAATGGAGGCCCAACTTCATGCCCTTGAATCTCCTAGCTTAAGTATGATAAATTCATGCTCTTGGATGTTTTGGAAAGCTTGAAACATAATCTATAACTTTCATGTTGGCCATTTTGACAAAATCATCTTGGAATTATGTGAAAAATTGCCAAGAAGTTGGGATGAAATCCTGACCAAAATCTGTTGAAAATTTCTCTAAGTGTTTATTCAAAAATGCCATGACTTCATGAATTTATAACTCAAAATCCAAGCATTTCTAGAAAAAGTCTTGTCCTACAGTGTTTTATATCTCATTGAGATCTACAACTTTCATGTTGGAAGTTTTCCTTCAATTATCTTGCATCATGATGAAAATTTGGTATGAAGTTATGAAATAAACATGTGCAAAACACTTAGAAAAATTCCTAAGTCTTGAAAAGTTTGACTTTTCAAATATGATTTTGACTTTTTGATTTCTTGATTAACAATCTTCATATGTTGACATGCCTTGATAAAATATGATTTTTGAAACTTGATTTTGATCAAAAAGTCAAAGTTTGATTTTTCAGTGTATAGTTGACTTTTTTATCAGTTGACCAAATTTCATCTATCAATCCACTAATCTTGAGAAATGTTTTGAGATATGAAAATAGGTTTAAATGATGCATTTGAATTCTTGAGGTCATGTTTCAAACCAATAAGTTATGTATTAGGTTAAAAGTCAATGATCAATCGCTTTCAGTCAAAACCCTAATTTATGGTCTCAGTGTTTCGAAGGTGATTTTGTCTTATCAATTCTTGAGAATCCTTGAGCGTTGGAGACCCTTTGTGAAATGTCTTGAGAAAAGAGAGGGAAAATTTTTAGGGACTCGGTTCGACCGTCTCTGATGTCGGGGATATCCTTGAGATGAGGAGGTTCTTCGTTTCTGTCCGTTTTATAGACGGGGGATAGCACAATCTT